AATTGCAGATTTAAGTGGATACCGATGAAAGAAAGCAGGCTTTCACTGCGGAGTTATCTATTAGAAAATTCCAACTAACCAGTTACAGACTATTGGACAGGAAGGCAAAACTCTCATATGCATCTTAATTACAAAAACTGAACATCCATCTTCTCCTGAACGCGACTTCTTGAACTTTCCTGGATATTCATTGACTCCAATCATTCATTGCTCAAATGCAAGCAAATGCTACAAAGCGACTCCACAAATTCTGCAACAGGTCTCCCTTTTCAAGAGACCCAAAGTGAACTTACAAGAACAAAACATACACTCGCACGCCTCCCCATCAGTAATATCGCCATTACGCCAGTATGTTATGCATTACCATTATGCTGGTGTCAATGGACGGCTCCTAGCAAGACTTAGTTGGTGGTAGACTGTTCACCTGGTGACTTGAAACAGGCATCTTCACTTTCGCTTACCGATCTCTACACAGGCAGCGAAAGCTCCAGGAATTCCAGGTTGATGCTGGTACATCGACAATCAACCGGTGACTGGTCAGCGCCCACTGTTTTTCCATCATCCTTGCGTAGGTTTGTGGCTTGTGGAAGGCTTCACACACCGTTTTAATTCCTTCAGGTTTACATGAGAAACACGTGCTTGCGTGCAGCGTTACAATCAGTCCAGCACAAGCCGGGTGTGACTCTCCCGACTGCGCAAGCGTCCAGTGCTTTGGTCACTACTGACCGAGGAATCTGATGCCCGTGCCTGGCATTAATGTAGTAAAATAAAACCACCAAACAGAACCAACAAACAAGAAAAAAGTGACTGCTTTTTTATCGAATGCAGCTTACGATAACCCGTTTAGCCTGTAAAATAAGCATTGTTCTGTGTTTTAAAAGGCTTCTCCATAAAACTGGTTCCAGTTGAAATTTTATGGTCATGAGTTTCACGAAAGCAAACCACAGCGATTGAAGCATTGAAATCATTTAAGTTGTTAGCTCTTCTGAAGCAAAGCAGAGTGCTCACAAAATACAATAAGAAAAATTGTTCACACTTCTGGTGCCCAGCTACCATGCCACCCGTAGAAAGTACAATACAATAAAGTTTCACGTAACCAGAGCAAGGTGAATGCTTCAGTGGTAATGTCCTCCATGAAAGGAAGATGGAAGGAAGATTTATCGGTGATTGGTCCAGCTTGAAGGAGAACCTGCACAATCTTCCATACATCTTTGTAAAATACCGACACCGCACTCGATGATTCTGTATTTCTTTTTATGTGTGATGGTGAACACGCTTGGAAAAGATGTGTTCACAGTATCATGTGATTGTCGCTTCATCATCGTCCGAAATTCCAGCTAAGCAATACCTCAAAGTAAGGAACGATCAATTGCTCGCGAATGCTCTCCCAATAAAAAAATTTTGGGTAATTTTGAAAAAACGCCAGCTGCTTGCAGCAAATAGGTGTCATTTTCATTTATCGTGTAAATTTAATCTCCTATTCATTAAATCCTACTAGTTGAGTTTTGAAATGACAGAAATCATTTATTTATTTTTCTTCGCTAAATTATGATCACACAGAACAACAAATACGTCACCAGCTTCGACTTATCCTTACGGGCGAGTGCTTAAGCGCACAATACTGACCAAGACAAAGAAAACTGCAATTTGTGTACAAGTGGTCATTGGAGCTAATTCTTGTTCATCGGTCTTTTGGGACAAACGAGGACAAAAATCCAACTGGTGACGATGAACATAATCGACTGCGAACTCAGTTCAGTCGGCTTAACCTGAATAATCTTTGTGAACTGTCGAAAACCGCTGTAGTCTAGTGAAGTGCGCTAAAGTTTCTTGATTATTTACAATTCGAAGCCATGCTTTTTCGCAAATTCCATATTATCTAAAAGGAATACTATTCATAAGGCTGCTGGAAAACGTCCAACAGCCCAGGGAAGGTGTCGACAACCTCTTAAGACCCATCATTTTCGCGCAGTCCCCGGGTTCTCGTTAACGTTATGGCATACTTGAACCTGGTTTACTGGAAAGCCGTGATGTACACTCATTTGTACATCGGTGTCTCCCGTCTAACTGTTTGTTTCGTCAAGGCCCAAGTGCTCTCTTGAAGGTCCAGTGTATCGAACAGCGCAATTCGGAGGAGAAATAAAATTCGACTCCACAGTGCACCCTAGTGATAGCAAATTTTCGATCTTAAGCTCATTCAGTCATTCGAATCAAAACAGCTTATCCAAGAAGCCAAAAATTTTCCTTACCAGCCTTAGTTGACTTCTGAATTGCATGACTTCAAACGCGACAGCTGCAGCCTGACTAGTACCAAGCCATCTGGTCTTTTGAGGGCGGCATCACAGCCTTAGAAATGGTTCCACACCCTCCGTTTGTCCAAATGAAAGAGAGTTATCAAAGAAATTCTGCGTTTGGAGTTCATTGCTGGTAGCAGCATTTTTAGATAATTGTGACTAGCAGACTCTAACCGTTTGCAAATCGAGGCGAAGCTACAATATGGACTCATACGGACCATACATGTATAATCAAGAGAAAAGTGATAACAGTTCCGATGGATTTGGTAGTTTGGGATATGCTTTCATCCAAAAATCTATTTCAGAGTGACTGACCTTTCAGCCTTAACTGGATGTAGATAGTATTCGTTATCGAAAACGTCCCATGCTACGTTTCATGCGCAACATGCACCCGAATTGAAATATATTCATCGTTAACCAGATACTTGTTTACGCCAAGAGCATAGCCCGCTTGTAACATTATAAAAGCCCGTTAATCATTTAGTTCACAGGTTTTACGTTAGCCATGGGTCAGAATATTGTCATCTTTGAGTGGTAGTCTATCGGCGATTTCATCCGCCTGGTTTTTCTTCAAACCGAATAGATCACCGCAGATAACTCGCTATCGCCCTACTCAAAATATAACTATATACCGTGTTATGAACCGCATGTACAAGCAAACAGAGGGGCAGTCTACAAAGCGCGAAAGTGCTGCACATGACACGGTACCTTTTCCCGTGGAAAAATGATGTAGAAAACTGACCAATTACACACTCGGGTGCACACTAGGAGACCACCTGCTGGTTGATGGACAAAAGGATGACTGTTCCCAGGGACTCGAAAATCGTCCCTTTTCCTTTGATTTTTTGTGTGTGCTATGCTGTTCGGAAAGCAAAAGTGGACTGTGAAGAGCGAGGACTGGTTTTTGAACAATATTTTGGGACTAGTGGACTAGAATGGAACTCCCACAATAGTGGCAGATTTTGTCGTTACTTCACTCAGATAGACGTGAATACGGGGTGGCCATTATTTTATGTAATCACCAGTGAAATATTCAAGAATTGGAATAACTGATTGCAGCTTGTCCTCAAAACTGCGTGACTTCGGCGATTATCATGAATGCTGAAGTGACACTCACTATTCACTTACTAAAAATCTTTGAGTATCTGGATCAATTTGGAGGTCACCTACTGAGAAACAAAAGAGCTACTGAAGTGGTAGCCACAAGTGTCGTAGTGCTATGGCGAGACGTCGTTTTATTGGTAGCGGCCGTTGGCATCTAAGGGATGACATCTCAGTTGTTGGCAGCATATTGAGGGTGTTTCAGCGCTACTTTCAAACCGTTCCGTCAAGTTGCTGATGAAAATCCGTCAGATGAATCATTTCCGAATTCTTCCAGCTTCCACCTGGATTAAATAGAAAACCTTTTCTCTGCACACAAGCTCGAAATGAAAGCTATTAGCCAGTCCGATTTCCCGATTAAAAATTTACTAGTGACTCCCAACATCCTAGTGTTGATGAACGTCGAATCAAGCGGAGAAAGAATGCACATAGATAACAGGTACAGGCAGAAAACAACCGATCTTTAGCCACTTCAGTGATAAAACAAGAATTCACGTATACTTATTGGTGCATGATTTGTATTACGGTAAGATGTGAGACCATCCAGTCCTTAAACTCGGTATTAGGAATCTATTTTCCCACTAGTATTTGGGGCCATATGCACGAAAAGCTCATATAAGTCAGCGAATGATCTGCCCCAGGATTGTCGACCATCCAGATGACCGGTTGGAAGATGCAAGTTACCGTTCGCACAGATTAAACACAGTTTCCTGGAGCTTATTTTTATCCTTTTCCTTAGTAAACCGGGACTTTGAATGCTGGAAACAATAAATGACTAAAGTCTGTCCCATAAAACTCCAATGGTCTTTCCACAGAAAACGGGACTCATCGTCCCGCGAGTCGGTTCATCGTGATATGAATTTGTGTTGAGTTTTTTAATGGGCTGAAAGTATAAATGCAGTCACTGTGCACGTTAACAGTTCAGTAATCAAACAGACAGATCTCCCACGCTATGAAGAATATTTACTGTGGGTCGGTATTTTGAGAAATTCTTGTTCTCTGGGTTATCATTTTGAGGCAAAAACTGCCAGCATCCAAACATCTTGTAGATTATTGGTTGTTGATTAGGTGGCTGTTGATCTGTTCGCCGAGCTTGGCAATTGGCTTGCAAACGTTTCGTCACCATACGAGGAGACATCATCAGTGCGCAGTTGAGTGGGTACTTCTTTGCCTGCGTGCGCTTATATAGCATTCGAGGGCTTTCTGTTATCTTCTGACGTGATTGGCTACTTAAAGTGTAACAAATCTGGGGAATCTATTGGTCCACAACGCAACAAAGATCACAATGGACCAATAGATTCACCAAATTTGTTACACTTTAAGTAGCCAATCACGTCAGAAGATAACAGAAAGCCCTCGAATGCTATATAAGCGCACGCAGGCAAAGAAGTACCCACTCAACTGCGCACTGATGATGTCTCCTCGTATGGTGACGAAACGTTTGCAAGCCAATTGCCAAGCTCGGCGAACAGATCAACAGCCACCTAATCAACAACCAATAATCTACAAGATGTCAACGTATGAGTAGCTGAAAAATGAGACAAATTTTCATTTTGGGTCGTGCCATCCGTCGGTACATTGAGGCGCTCCTAGAGTTACACTCACCTTCTCTATCAAGGCGAATGTTCGCGATGGCCAGCTGAGGTAGAACTTCTTAGTGGAACAATAGTATGAGGAAAAGTTGGCCGCACGTTTGCGTGTGGTGCTTGTTTATTTACTGAATGTTGATTTGTCGTCCGTGCATGACATTTAGCTCCGGAACGTTTCACCACCTACCCGTTATATATCATTAGTGGTTAGGTGGATGCCATTATCTTTCCTTGTTGCATTCACATGCTATTTAAGAATTAACCTCTACCTCCTCAGTTAGGATTACCTTGTATTTCGTGTTTTTGAAATATTTCTGAAACTGCTCAACTGTTTGCTGATTTACGTCTTTTTCAACATAATGACTACCATTCTTGAGCTCGGATAGTTAATCAGGTGATTTCCTCTGTTCAATTTATTCCTTTGGTGTAGAGTTTGGGCGTAGGGTCCTTTCAAGCTGATTCTACCCGCCAGCTTGGCACTAATTCACATCTAATTCTAGGTTTTCGTGTGCACGCTTGCGCTATGTAGCTATGGGAACCCATTGTCCTCAGTGCTCGACCCATCAAGTTAATTTGAATATTTCTGTCCTGTGAGGTATTGCACCCTCATACACGCAAACTCCCTCTTTGTTCATGCTTGTGCAAGTAATTCACCATGGTTCCAACTGGATCTCCGTCATTTCTGATCCTCGCAAACGGCGGAGATTGAAAATTCAACCTGTCTGTCGGTGGCAATTTTGTCCTAATATTGTCCAGTGGAAAGTCCTTCCCGGTGTATCCCACTCAGTTTTAGCCAAGTTACGTGCATTCAATGTCTTTTAGACGTTAGTTAATAAAGTGGGTTTATTTCTCAACTTCCAGGGAAAGTACGACTTACAGCATGACCAAGCCATCAGAGTTTAAGCACGGCACAAGATAAAAAAGCACAACGGAAGGTATAGAAATAAAAAAACATGCTTACTGCGTAATTTCTGTTAAACAGTGGTAACGTCAGCCAATCTGAACTAAAACTGGAAGTCGTTGCCGGTGCCGGATGGCCTTGGGCGGTTGAGCTGATTGCCAGGATGCCAAAGCGTGTAAATGATAGTAGTGCTTCGAGGGAATGAGCTGTAGGTATAGGCGGCAGTTTGCATCCTTGAAATATGACACCATGAGCGAGGGTGGGCTCACTGGTACAGTTGTTGTGTAGGCGTCACGAGTACCAGTTGTATGGGTGGATGAAGCAGCACACACAAAACCAAATGAGCACTATAGATCAAATCACCAAATTTGAGATCAGGACAAGCTGGAACTGCGGCAGAACGCTCAGATGATGAGATCCAAAAGGGTTTAGTGGATCATTGTCGTAGGTTTTTACTCCTGCAGGTTGTCATAAGAATCTTCCGCATATTCCACGAAAAGTTGTTGTATGTAAATTCATTGCGTTTTTTAGTCAGTCCAATCGAATACAAGGGATAATCCAATAAAATGAGATGCATTTCTTTGGGTGTGCCAACGCTTTCTGGGAATGACCCATGTAGGACTAAAAGCTTAGCCACAACCGACAATTCTGAGGCAGTAACAGGCCATTTGAACGTATTCGGACTCTGATAACTGGCACGTAAGACGACGCATCCTCTTGAGCACCTCGTCCAGCACAAAAAACCCGAATATTGGATTTCTTAGTCCGCGGGTCATGAATTAAAAAACGGTCCAAAACTCAGTATTGCAAAGTAGGTCAAAGTAGGATACACCTAGGGCAAGCCAACTGAAAGGGTGCATCTTTAGTAGCAAATGCGATCTAAAAAGTGGGATAAAAACTAAGCGTCAGTGCTCCTTGAGAAAAGTGGGTTAAATAGCTTCTACAATTGTTTTGCTGTTGTATTTTGAGGATTTATCGCCCTGCAATGCACTGTCTTCTCAAGAATGTCCTTCCCGCGGTAACGCCTCTGTTAAAAGTAACACTTTACAAAACTCAGTGAATTGCCCTCAGGAGCCTCAGCGTTCTAGACCAGGTAGCTGTACGCGATTCATAATCTGTAGAAAGGGTTTGTTCAATCTCTCTATCTTTTCAACATTCGTCTGCTGAGGTTCTTCTACAATGGCGACATTTTGGTTAAAGTTGCCATGATTGAACGTCGATAGTAATCCCACAGCTTCATGGCCTTGAAAGGTTTCAACATCCTGATAAAGATTACAAACAATTCTCTTGAGCCGAAGCGGCTTCCCACAAAGCCGATAAACTACGGTTGCATATTGTTTTATGGGCGCAGACGATAATTTCCGTGTCTTTGGCTTCAGTAACTTCACTTACTGCACGGTCACTACGGATGAAGCCAAACATTCTGGGGTCCTTATTTAATGCATATGGGCTTCTAGACGGATTTCACGGAAGGTCATTTAATTTGGGCCATTGCCTAAGTTACTCTGAGTTCTCCCACAGTCGCATCAGCTTGCTGAATGCACTCATATTCTCCGCATTAACAGTAAACTCTAGACATCTTTTTATACATAAATAACGACAATCAAACGTCTAAACATGTTTCCGTTGGGGAAACCATTGGTCATGTAATAACCCTCTGATAGAAGAATGAGTAGCTCCGTAAATAGGGACGCTCAACATCCACCAAGGGCTCAAATCACGGCCGGATTTGGGTTTTAAGGGTCTGCGTTTTTCAGGAGCACTCGAGGTCTTTCCTAGAGCTTCAATCCAAAAGCATTATCATCTGGGGAGGGAGAGTCCTAGCTTTTCTTTTGACAAATTTCGAAAATACAGCCCAACGAATTTTGCCCACGGTTGTTCAACGCTATCTTAACTCGATTGTTTTCGTTTTCCCAACCCTTTTCACCCGCTTTCACCCATGCATGCGAATAAATACAATCACAAAAAGTCTTTGGACTTAAGACAACCTCATATGCAAGTCGCATTTCGAATCTGCCTCTTGCAAGCCAGTCTGGATTAAGCCACAGGTTATGGATGCCCTTGTATCTATGGAAACTTATAGATCTTAGCTAATTTCTGTGGTTTTTCCACAACGTCTCTTTACCCGATGACCATTTCTTAAGCAGGCTTGCACACTTGGGTTTAAAGTTCTCACATGTTCTAGGAAACGGCTCTTGGCCAGCTGCGGCTTGGGATCGTTGATCGTTTACGCTTCCCCACTTTGTGTGTGAATATCATGATACCAAAAGCGATCAATTGAGTGGGCTTCTTTGGTATATAGAAAACGCAACAACCTCTATGAGTCGGTCGGTCTATCCTGATCTGGCTGATATCAGTATTACGTGATTTCATATTGAGCACCAATAGTAACGTTGCATGTCCCCCCATAAATTGCTTTAGATTGTGAAAGCCATAATGTGCGGTCAGGTTATGAAATAGCTTTAGGAAGCAGGTATCAGTCAACTCACCACAACTTGTCGACTTTAATTGTTAACCGATAACTAGAGTTATAAATCCTTCGCTGACTAGCCGTTACTTCATACCGAGCAGAGCACATTCCGCTTGCATGGAAGGATTTACGCTTCAATTTGTGTGGTCTGCGGGGTTACAGAAAACACAAAGTGCATGGATGTTGGTGTTAGAAAAGATATTGCAGCTCGCCGGTCAAATATTTTTAGATCACTGTACCCCAAATGAACGAATGTGTAGTGGGCGCTTGCGGAGTATAGGCGCACTACCAACACCGATTCGGCCGCTTCTTTCAACCCTGTTCAATACACTACCTGAGTTTTGAAACACAGTACCATTACCCAGTCATTTGCCCGCCTCGACTCGCCGGTTTTATTACGAAGGCTGCGCACATTCAAAGAAATGGCCCTCAGCTATATATTTCATTGGTTCCAGCCAAAATGCTGAGACCCTTTGAGTGTGATACCCAGGGTGAAAGCGCCTTGTGTTCGGTCCCACTGCTTACTGTTCGCGGTTGGGCACCACGTACCTCAGCCGGATCATCCAAATTCACCACTTGACTGTCCACTTTGCCCTCTTTTCATCCGCTTGCTCATCCTAGTCGTTGAGCTTACCTCGGAGAAGGCTTCGCTTTGGAGTGTCTGGTGTACTGTGTTGGAGAATATCAGAAAGGTCAGCTTCCTGAAAGCAACTGCTGAATGCCCGAAATCTGCCGAGACTCTTAGCTCCGCTAGATGTTGACCAGACAGATAACACCCCCTCAAGATGTAGCGCGTCACAGCCTTGTATCAAACTCAGACAGCGCGAGTCAGTATTAATCAAGGACAGGCAATGACCCCGCGGTATGCAGCACATCGCAGCCTCGTACCAAAGCCAGACCGTGTGCGTCAGCGCTGGACAAAGTACAGACAGTGTCCCTCGAACAAATAGCCTGAGACCGTTGTACACTCGCACTTGCACGCATTCAGGTTTTCGCACTCGCGCTTTCGGAATATAGCTGTTGCGTTTCCTTCTGTGAGTCTCTTTTCTTTGGCGATAGGCACTAAAGCCGGTCGGCAACAGGTAACACGGATTGGCAAGTCGGCATATATAGCAGAAAATGTGATCGGCCGTTTCGATTCACCGACTGTGCCCGTCCATACGCTCAGATCTGGAAGTTTAGGTGTTGCACATTTTGATTGGCTGTTTGAGACACTTTAGTTTAGTGCTTTTTGTTGTTTGTTTTAGTGTCTGGCGAACGCTTATTCTAGATGTTGTTGTTTGCAGGATTCGTAGAATGCACATTCACAGGACTGTCATTTGAGAAATTGTATCCCTGTCCTGACGCAATTATTTTGGTAAGCCTGAATGGGAAACAATTGTCAATAATTTCGTTCTTATTGGACCTTTTTGGCCATATCGTGGCTAAAAGTGCGTGAATCTGGCGTGCTTGTTAGTGTGTTACCACCCCTTCGCCAGCTCACACTGGACTAATCTGAAGTTTTGCATTTGAACAGACGGCAGTCTCGTGAGACTGTGTGTCTGTAGCTCTTGCAGCTATCGACAAGTAAAGCAACTATGTCCGCCATGTGGGTCTACCCAGCTGGGAAGTTCCGACGAACGAGCCAGTCAATCGGCACAACTAAGGCATGTTACTAGGACTTCTTCCAAGGCATCAAGCTTACCAATCAGAT